GATACACCAGTATTTAATGAATTATTAAATATAGTTAAATCAAAAATCGAAAAACAACATGTAATAAGAGAACCGATTTCTGCATCAACTCGTCTACAAATATGCCTATGATATTTGGCATCAGGAGATACAATGCCTTCGATTTCATTTGCATTTAGAGTGGGATTAAATACTGTTTCTAAAATTATTAGTGAAACATGTACAGCTATTTGGGACGTTTTAAGTGATCAAGTTTTTCCAAAATTGATAAAAATCTTTGGAAAAGGAAGAATTTGAAACACTGTGGAATTTTCCTCACTGCATTGGAGCTATTGATGAAAAACATATTGAACTTCAGGTATTATTAAAAAATAAAAAAATAACAAGCAATAGAGTAAATAAAAACATTATTAGATTTGTTTTATTGCATGTTATTTTTTGATTCTTGATTTAATTAGATTTAATAATTCATTAAATGTTAGTATCCACTTTTAGATATTCAACAAATTTAGGATTAAAATCTCACATTGAAGATTTTAATTTGTATTTTTATTTTTTGTTTTAGGCTCCACCTCATAGTGGCTCTACATTTTATAATTACAAGGGTACTCATAGCATTGTTCTCTTAGCTGTAGCAGATGCTAATTGTTGCTTTACCATCGTTGATATTGGAGCAGAAGGAAGACGCAGTGATGGTGGCATTTTTTAAGAAAGTGAACTTGGATATCGATTAGAAAATGATAATCTTGATTTGCCAGAACCAGAGTCAATTGTGGAAAATGGACCTAAGTTGCCGTCATAATCGTGATGAAGCATTTGCCTTGACTCGTTATATGCTACGTATCCTCGGTCAAGTAATTTAAGTTTAGAAAAAAAGGTATTCAATTATAGACTTAGTCGAGCTCGAAGAATAATTGAATGTTCTTTCGGAATTTTATCGGCAAGATGGTGAATTTTTCGAAGACTATTGGCAACTACTGTAGAGAATGCAATTTCTATAGTCAAAGCAACAGTTTGCTTGCATAACTATTTAATAAAAAAAGATTTAGATGTTCCTTTAGAACAAAGACAATATGCCACTGATATTAATTTACAAGACATAGTTAATTCTAGTGAAATATTACAATCTGAAAATAATAATATGTTTCTACGTGGTGGACAAATTCAAAATGCATTCACTGAATATTTTTGTACTAAAGGAAGTATTGAACAGCAGTGGGATAAAGCATATAATAATGACTTTTAATATGCTTAAAAAATTATTATGTATGTTTATTTCAAATATATTTACTAAATTATATTACACATGTACGTTTATTAAATAATTATAATTATGTATGTATTATTATATGTAAGTATCACATTATTACATATCATTGTAAAAAAAAATATTACACATTATTTTGTTAATAAGATAATCATAAGAAACATTTTCTATTAAACTGCTATAATAATATTGAAAAATAAAAATTATATTAGATAATTGTTTAAATTATTTAAATAATAACAATTGTTTAAATTGTTTTAATCATAACAATTGTTTAAATAATTAAATGAAAACAAAATAATAATAACAGTAGTAGAATAATAAAAGTAATATAATTACTTAATCTTTCAGTCTTTCTTCTATTTTATTTAATCTAGTTAAAAACTCCAATTCCAATTTTGATCTTACTCTATAAGGCAGTTTGCGCATTCCCTCTGCTAAACGCACCATGAAGCAATCAACTGGATTAGGGTCACAAGATTTTTTTAACACTTCTAATAAAATTTTATCATATTCATCATAATTCCCCGACCGTTTTCTTTCTATAAAAAATATATTAATAAATTTTATGTCGTTTATAATTACAAATAGAAAATAATAAGTAAATAAGCTTACTGTTTTTATCCAATGATGTTAAAGTGCTTTTATATGAAGAACTAGGAGATATAAATGAATGTGACAGTTCATTTTCATTACTTTCTTCATTGACAGCATTGACAAATGCATCTAATGAATTTTCATTCTCTATACTTGATATAGGCGATTGTGGTTCTCTAATCATTGTTATAGAAGAAATTGAGCTACAATTGCAATTAATAGTAACAATTAATATAATATAATAATACTAATAATATAAATAATAAATATAATAAAAATAATATAAATCATTACATAAATGAAAAACACTACACACATTAACAAGTTCTTTTGACTATTAGCAATATTAAGAAAGAAAATTTTAAATAAACTTACGAACGATGCTCAAAATATCATTTAAGAAAATCATTAAATGATGATGCTTAAATGATGGTTTTATTAATTTATTTTTGGAAGTACCAGCTGCACCGCTCCTTTGAGTAAATTCCTGAATTTTTTTGTAATTATTTAATGACTTCCGATAACGATCTTTGAGATAATTCCATCTTTTTTCCGCTTTTATTGGTGTATACATTCCTGAAATATAAATTTGTAACGGTGCGTATTTTTACGCCTCACGGGCGGTGCGTAATGATGCGGAATTTCGACGGTATGCGGATTTTTCGATGCGGAATTACGACGGTGCGTAGTTAGCGAAGCGGATTCTTACGACGCGGAATAACTCGTCGGTTTGCCAGAATTCGTTCGTGTGGTTTATCGGGAGACTCCAAATTAAATATATTTTAAAGAAAAAATAAATATTTATTCAATAGAGCATTATAATTATAAAAGAAAGTAGTAATAACGAGTACATGTGTATTTCTAGAACGGTATAATCGGATACAACTATCGGAAATAAATAAATAATTCCTTATCGGTTAGACGAGTTAATGTTGCGACGGTACATGTGTATAATTCTAATTGCGAACGAATGAATAATCAACGGAAAATAAACGCGCGTAAATCGTTGGTGCGCCTTTTTGGCTTTATTATAAACAAACTAAATTATTTGATCGGTCGGTTCGTACGGTACGGAGCAAAGTAATAAAAAATAAGCAATACCGCGTATATCCGAGCCTTGCTGAGTCGACGGTTGCCGGTACGCTGTGTCCAAAGACAGTGAGAGACTTCTCTCGTGCAAGGGGTATCGGAAGTCGAACGCCGGGAACACCCGACCGAGGCAGAGAACACCCTG